GTCCATTACTGCTAAGTTTTTGAAGATAGTAGGAGTTCCAAATTGAGAGAAATTTTATTGAACCAAATTAAGTTGTTGTTCCAGTTCCTGCTATATAGGAATGATTTAGTTCCTACCAATTGAAGTTGTTAATGAAAAACCAAGGAACCAAGATGAACTTCCAATTCCTCAAACAATGATTGAATCGATTTCTGAGCCACAAGTTAGGAGATCAAAAAGGGAAAAAAGATCCGAATTGTCTAGTAATTATATTACATATATTATTGGAGAGTGATTTTAATATTGGGCATTTTATTGATCCTGTAACTTATAATCAAGGATTTTTGAAGTTATGGAAGATGAAATGAATTCCAAGGAAAGGAATAAAGTTTGGGATCTTTTTGAACTTCCTTCAAATGCTAAAGCTATAGATAATAAGTGGATTTTCAAAAGTAAATTAGATTCAAAAGGAGATGTTGAACGAAAGAAAGCAAGATTGGTTGTGAAAGTTTTCACTTAACGAGAGGGTATTGATTATGTTGAAACCTTCTCCCCTGTTTCATCAAAAGATTATTTTCGAATTATCATGGCTCTTACGGCATACTACAATTTAGAGTTTCATCAAATAGATGTTAAGACATCATTTTTGAATGGAAATCTTTCTGAAATGATTTATATGAAACAACCCGAAGGTTTTGTTGTGAAAGGAAAAGAAAACTTGATGTCTAAGTTAAACAAATCATTATATGGACTTAAACAAGCATCTCAACAATGGTATTTGAAGTTTGATGAGGTTGTGATATCTCTTGGTTTTGTCGAAAATACTATTGATCAATGCATTTATCTTAAAACCAATGGGAGAAATTTTATTTTCCTTGTATTGTATGTTGATGACATTCTGCTTGCTAGCAGTAACTTAAGGCTGCTTCATGAGACAAAGAAAATGTTATCTGCTAATTTTGAGATGAAAGACCTTGGAGAAACTTCCTATATACTTGGTATTGAAATACATCGTGATAGAAATTGTGGCTTATTGGGACTCTCTCAGAAAGCTTATGTACGACGTGTTCTAGAAAGGTTTAATACGCAGAACTGTGCACCTGGTGATATACCTATCATAAAAGTAGAAAAGTTTAACAAAACTCAATGTCCGAGAAATGAGTTAGAAAGGGAGTCTATGAAGATGATTCCATATGCTAGTGCTGTGGAGAGCTTAATGTATGCTCAAGTTTGCACTAAACCGGACATAGCCTACGCGATAAGTGTCCTTAGCAGATTTCCGTCTGATCCAGGACAAGAGCATTGGAAAGCGGCTAAGAAAGTGATGAGATACTTGAAGAAAACTGAAGGTTATATGCTTACATTCCAGCATTCAAATCATCTTGAGGTGGTAGGATGTTCAAATTCTGATTTTGCTAGATGTCAAAATGATTTGAAATCAACCTCATGTTATATTTTTACACTAGCTAGTGGTGCCATTTCTTGGAAAAGTGCTAAACAGACTCTAGTGACATCTTCTACTATGCAAGCTGAATTTGTAGCATATTATGGGGCTAAAGTCCAAGCCGTTTGGTTAAGAAATTTCATCTCTAGCTTGAAAGTTGTTGATTCCATCTCAAGACCAATAACTATTTATTGTGATAATAGCCCATCAATGCTCTTTTCGAGGAATAATAAAAGTTCTGATGGATCAAAGTATATTGACATCAAATATTTTATAGTTAGAGACAGAGTTAAGGAAGGACAGACAAACATAGAGTATATTAATACAGAGGCAATGATTGCAGATCCCTTGACTAAGGGACTCGCTCCAAAAGTCTTTAAGACACATGTTGCTAATATGAGCATTGTGGAAACCTTTTGATGTTTTTGGTTAGTGGGAGTTATTTATGGAAAATAACTACGTTTTGACTTGATCTCTTAACGGAGTATGTAGGCAACCCATATATTTTTCGGGTACAACCCCTTCTAATAATAAAATATTTTTCCCCTATTCATGAACTATGTTGAGCAAGCATTTGACTTATGTCTTTTCATAATATTACTGTGATCTCAAAATCTGACATAAGACGAGTCTCTTTTGGAGACATGTGGCTTCATTTTGATCAGAAGCATTATGAGGATCGATATGAATTAGCACATTTTTTTTATCACATTTGGTGCTAAGTTCATACCACATATTACCACATTGGTTGGAGGATGGGAATCCATGTCGATAAGGATGTTGACATTTGTAGCTGTGGAATGGCCTTACATCGCTTAATTGGTGTGATGACTTCCATGTTCGGTATTAATATTCTTGTTGGACGGGATCATGTTGCGTAAGGTGTCATCATTGGAGCTATACTTTTGAGGCCACCTATGTAGTCTAACCCGGGTGTTAAAACTTTGTTATGGCAATCAAATGTTTGCTCAAGTGAGAGAATGTTGGAATAACTCCATATGTGGGCTTTACATTCGATTGCAAATTTTACGGGTTAGATGTATGGCTCATAATGATATTTGTGATTGGGCCAAATTTATTAAGTGATCAATTGGGCCTTTTACACCTTACGGGTTGTAATTAATATGATGTGGTAATTTTAAGTATGTGGGTCGAAAATAAACCCTAATTAGAATTATAGTCGTAATGGGAAGGCTCAATTATTTCCTATATAAAGGCTAGGTCCCCTCTCCTCTCCATATATTTTTGGCTTGCCCCATTGATGACTAATATTTTGTGATGAACAAGGAGGGAAAGATCTGGCTACTACTTCAATTATTGTTCATATCGATTATGGCTTCCGCAGGTATGAATTTCAACTACTAATTTATTAGATTGTGATTCTTGTTCTTAGCATGTTATTCATTAAATCTAACAACTTGTACAATCTTAATTGACAATCTTAGTTGACAAGTTCACACTTGAAAGAATCACATTTATCAATTTTAAAAACTGTCGAAAACTATTTTTTAAATCAATAGTCCGAGTTTTGACAACGCCAAGGTTGTTACAAGGTTTGTACAAATAGTTTAATTGAAAAATTAATTCTAATTTGAGAAGTGAAGAAGATTGAATATGGATGGTTTCATTTTAATCTAGGTAATTTTATCTATGAAATGTATTTTAATTTATATTAGCATTAGAACTCTTAATTTTCATAATTTTAAATAAATTAGAATTTTAATTTCATTTAGTGTTAGTCATTATCTTTAATTTTATCATTATCTAGAGGTAGTCGTAGTCTAGAAATTTAGTTAGTATCTAGATTTTATTTACTACTTTAAATACGAATTGTAACCCTTCTGGCAATGGAATTGAGTTGCATATGAATTGAAATTTGAATTGTCGAGGTTTCTTCAATTTTTCTAAATTCTCATATTTGATATTAAAAATTGACAAGTCCAATTCTATGTATTCGTGTGCGAATCAAATAATTCGATGTCTAGATTTTTTAGTATTCTTGTGAATCAATAGAAATTAGAAAGTGTCGTGTTTCGATATTCATTTGGAATTAACAAAATTTCGATAGCATGTTTGTTTCATCATTTATTGTTGTTGCTTCTGGCACTACGTCAGTTGATATTAGAGCCGTGTTCGCTCTTAATAGTGTTTGTTGAATTCAATGACAAAAGTTATGATGTATGATGATGAACTTTTTGTTCCTTTCAATCCAAAGAAGTCAATGGGATAGTTTTGGATGAGGACTACGGTGGTCCGCCAATTTTTGACAAAAATGTGTAGAACCTTTGAATTTCAATGACAAACGTCTTATAATCTTTGAGGAAGAAATTGAAGACTTCGTGAATATGGGTATTAACAATTGCGATGGATCCTCTATCTTCGATGAAGAAATTGAAGAATGTATGAATTTGTGTAGTGACAATTACGACGTCTCACATATTTTCTATGGAGAGCTTGATGTCAACGTCTCTTATAGGTGGTCCAAACGAATCATGGTGGATTTTAGTGCCACACAAGAGAGTCCGTGGATCTCAAGATACCTACTATAGTTCGAACTTTGTTCAAAGTGTTTTCTTTTGTGATCCCTGTAAATTATTAATCCCTGTAAATTACCGTTATTGCAAAAAATTTGGATGATAACACGGTACAAGATTCGAGAACAAATCTTCGTCAATCAAATGAAAATGATGAAAATTGAATAGGCATGATTTTAATTTAATTGAAGTAATTTTATCAATGAATTGTTTTTTAAATTATAATTAATTTAGTTTTAAATTAATATTAGGACTCTCAATATTCATAATTTTAATTAAATTAAGAATTTAGTTCCTTTTAATGTTAGTCTTTGTCTTTAGTTTTATCATTATCTAGAGCTAGCCATTATCTAGGGGTTTAGTTATTATCCAAATTTTATTTACTGCTTTAAATACGAAGTGTAAGCCTTATGAGTATGACAATTGAATTGAGTTAATTTAAATTGAAATTTGAATTGTAGAGATTTTCTCCAATTTTCATAAATTTTCATAATTTGATATTTAAAAAATAATGAGTCCAATTCCCTGTATGGTGCCTAGATTTTTGATATTATTAGGAATCAATGAAAACTAGTACATGATCGTGTTTCGATATTCGTTTGGAATCAACGAAATTTCGATGGCATGTTAGTCCTCATTTATTTCTATTGCTTCCGCCTGCGTTGCATCAAGGTGCTGAAGAAGTTGCAACGACACTGTCCTTTCTTTTACTACTGTGGAAGTGAAATATATTTCATGGGTTCTTCGTAAACTAAATAATTTATGACTAATCTTAACCAGAAACATGTCCAATCAACGTTTCCACATTATATATTAGTAGATCATACACATCCAATTTCATATTATAAATTCAATTAACAGTATAACCCAAATTACATAAATTTCGTAATTGGTTCAACTATCATTGAATACCATCATCACTTTTTTGGTAAATACCAACAATTCGATATAATCAGTAACACAAGATTTTTATATAATAAATGACAAAAAATGCCATATAGAATTAGATTACAAAATTTCAGTAAAATTAGGCTATATATACACACAGGCTTTCTCATCGTACATGTCAGATAAGTTTTTTAAAACTTTGCCACTCCATATTTCTAGGTTTTGCTTCATGTCAATATATTCTGAGTTAAAATTTACACATGTAATCGGAAATGCATATAATATATTTATTGTTTTGCAGGTCTTTTTTACTTAATTTGTCACGCACCATCTGAGCAACCATGAATTACTTGTTGAATGGAAACATGAACATGAACATGAACAAGAACAAGAACAAGGTTGTCTTCATCATTGGGGCCACTGGGACGGGAAAGTCTAGACTTTCCATTGACATTGCTACCCGTATCCCATCGGAGATTATAAATGCCGACAAAATTCAGGTGCACAAAGGACTCGACATCATAACGAACAAAATTTCAGAGACCGAGAAGAAAGGTGTGCCACACCATTTGCTCGGGACAATCGAGCCTGACTCCGATTTCACGGCTGCTGACTTCTGTAATCAGGTAGTTGCAGCTGTGGAAGAGATTTTGAGGTCGGGAAAGGTTCCGATAATTGTAGGTGGATCGAACTCCTACATCGAAGCGCTCGTGGAGGAGCATTTCCTAAAGTTCAAGTCTATTTACGATTGTTGCTTCATATGGCTTGATGTTTCATTACCTGTATCGTTCTCTTTTGTGTACAAAAGGGTCGATCAAATGGTCGACGCAGGTTTAAGAAATACATTTAACTTATAAAAGTAACTAACTACAAACGAATACCAAGAATTTTAGTTTAGTTTAATTGTTTTTTATTTCTCTTATAGGACTTATTGACGAGGTACGAGGAATGTATGTGCCTAAAGCTGACTATTCGAAAGGCATCCGTCGTGCAATTGGTGTCCCGGAATTAGACAAGTATTTTGAAAATGAGAAAGAAATGGATGAGACGAGCAAGAAGGTTGTTCTTGAAAATGCCATCGAAGAAATCAAGAGGAACACGTGCAAACTAGTTTTTCGTCAACTTGAGAAGATAGAACGGCTTAAAAACCAGCTTAATTGGAAAATTCACCGCATTGATGCTACGTGGGTTTTTAAGATATATGTAAAGGAGGAAGACAACAGTGCTCGTTGTCAGGAGTTCGACGATGCATGGATGGAGTTGGTGCTCAAAACTTGCTTTGGTATTTTAATTGATTTTCTAAAAGAAGATCTGCAAGTTGATAAAGTTGCAGAATCTATTATGGCTCCAATTCCTTCCGAAGAGTTGAAGGGTGAAAACTAGAGAAATGGGAGCCTCATATTTTCTGTTTTCATTTGATCGTTAGTAATTCATAGACTCTCATCATTAAGAACTGGTTTTTTCGGATATTGTTTCTAGGCAATATGTTAGAGTGCTTGCAACTCTAAATGATAAATAAATGTACATGCAATATCGTCTTTATTCATTGGCTTGGAATAAAATTTCGAGAATTACAATTATCTCATAGCCACACACCAATAAAATTTATTTATGGGAAAATTTCATAGATGTCACCAAATTTGTAAATGCATTAAAAGTTGTCAACATTAATAATGGTGTTCAAGAATGTCACTTTTTTAGCGCGAATTGTCCAAAATCACCATTGAAGTTACATTTTTTGTGTATTTAATGCTCATTAATACATGCTTTTAATGTTCAGTAATGTCATGATTTGATGATTAAACTAGTGTACAAAAAAATCATTGAATATATCTATAATCCAACCGGTAATAGAATTATTGTCCAAAAAAAGAGTTGTGTCAACCTTGGTGGTGTCGATGAAATAGGTGAAACTGAGCCCGGTTTGAACTTGGTGTTTGCTGGAAATTATCCCTACACTCTTCCTTCGTCTTTTCTTCTTTTCTATTTCTTTTCTTCCTCCCCCCCCCCCCCCCCCCCCCCCCCAACTTTCTTACATCTTCTCTACTCCAATATCAAGAAGAAATTATTTTTAGATTAATCTTCCATTTTGAGAGAGGACATTGCAACATGACATCAAACTTTACGTAATGAGTTATATAATGCCACGTTACTATGTCAATTGTCAATTTAAAACATAATCAATTTTTTCATCCAATTTTTTCCATTCACATCATTTTATGTATCCCATATATATATCATTTTTATGTACAAATAGTATAATTCTTTGAGAGGTTAATAATCTTATATTATAACTTACTATTTTATAATTATAAATACGACTTGCTTATATTAAATTTTCAATTTTGCTAATTATTATTCATTCATTTGGTTTGGTTATATAAATAGCAATATCCTCCATAATATGTTATGAAAGATTATGTAGTTAATAAAGTATTAGGTAAGTTATTTGTCAAAATTTTTTCATTTGGTGGTTGAGCATTGATAAATACACTTAAGAGGGCATATTTAATTGAGACTTTTAATGACTTTATGAGATTTAAAAAGTTTAGGGGTATTCATTTAAGACTTTGAGAGTCACGGTGTATTCAATTGAGACTTTTATATATTTTTAAGAAATATCTAAAAGTTACAATATATTTAATTAAGACTTTTATAGACATTTAAAAAGCTATAAAAGTCGTAGTGTATTCAATTGAGACTTTTTAGAAATCTTTACATAAGTTTTGGGGTATTCAAATTTTAATAACTTTTAGAAAAGTCTCTGAAGTATTAATTTTAAGCAGAAAGTACTCATATAAAATCTTAAAATTGGTCTTTCATTAATCACGAGATTCTGAGAGACTTTCACAATTTTTTTGTCAATCTTTTTTTCTTTAACCTTCTATGAACATGCATTATTAAAATTTATTTTTTTTCTATTGATTATATTTACTTCCATCTATCTTTCTTTCTTTCTCTCCCTTATTATTTATCTTAATTTTCTTGAAAATTTTAAATTGGAATCTTGTAACTTTTTTTTCTTTTTTTCTTTTTTTGCATTTATTTTTTTTTGTGAAAAATATCAATTTTTTATTAAATTATAAAATTTTGTATGCAAAATTTATAATTAAATTTAAATATATTGATTTTTATTTATTTTAAAAAGTATATTATACAAATAATATTGAATTATATATATGTATAATTTTTTTATTATTTATTTAATTAATGTCTTAAATTTTTATTTTTTGCAAATGTTTTAATTATATTGGAAGAAAAAGGGGAATGACGGGAAATTGTGGGAACTAATGAGTATGTGAGAATTCCACGCAATTGTATTAGATCAACGTGAATTCTATTTTAAATAAAAGTTTTCAAAAGTCTTTTGAATTCTACAAAAGTCTATAAAAATGTTAAAATAAAAGTCCATAGAAGTCTACGAAGATTTCCACTAATTTCATACAAATCTATAAAAGATCCACAAAATTCACAAAAGTCATCACTTAAAAAAAGTTTATCAAAGTCTTCAAAAGTCCTAATTGAGTACAACCCCCTTAATGTTATGAAAAATGTACTACAGTCACATCACTTAGATGTCAATCCTTATATGGTAACCATAACTATTGACAGATGACTTGTCGAACAAAATTGTTGAAACCGACAATTAAAATATCGAATTTGACATTAGTAATTGTTGAGAAAGACATTTAAACCGTCATTTTTACCAGCTTGCTATTGTTTGATAAAATTTATTCTTAGATGCAACTTGCATGTTCATAAAGCCTTATATGTTATAAATTGTAATGAGTGCTTATCATTGTTATCTCCAATTATCAAGTATGAATACTAATATGAGATTTATCGTGTTGTACGATGAACATTTTGCACATGTAGATGACGAGTGGAAGTGACGAGGGAACAAAACCATTAAGAACTAGTTTTTTTGAATATTGTTTTTAGGCAATATCTATATAGATCTTCTAGTGCTTGCAACTCTAAATAATAAATAAAAATACAGGCAATATCGTCTTTTCTCTTGGAATAAAATTTCGAGCATTACAATTATTTCATAGCTACAAACCAACAAAATCTATTTATGGGAAATTTTCATAGACGTCACCAAATTTGTTATAACATTAATAATGGTGCTCAAGAATGCCACTTTCTTGGCGTGAATTGTCCAAATCATCATTGAAGATACATTTTTTGTGCATTTAATGCTCATTAATACATGCTTTTAATGTTCATTAATGCCATGATTTGATGATTAGACTAGTGTACAAAAAATCATTGAATATATCTATAATCCAATGAATAATAGAATTGTTATCCAAAAATAGGAAAAAAAAGAAAAAAGAAAAAAGAAAGAAATGACAACAATTCATATCAATGCAAGCCCTGGTTTTCATACTCCTTCCAATCCCACCCCAACTTTCTTACATCTTCTCCACTCCACTATCAAGAAAAATGTATTGTTAGATTAATCTTCCATTTTGAGAGGAGACGTTGTAACATGTACATCAAACTTTATATAATGGATTACATAATGTCACATGTCACTATATCATCTGTCAATTTAAAACATGGTCAATATTTCATCCAATATTTTCCCTCTACATCATTTTATGTTATCCCTTATGTACTATTTTATGTACAAGTAGTATAATCCTTTAATGGGTTAATAATTACAAATTATTTAATATTCTTATATTATAATTTACTATTTTGTAATTATTAAATCAGACATGCTTATATTAAATTTTCAATTTTTCTAATTATTAATCATTCATTTGGTTTGGTTTTACAACGATTTTTGAATAAAAATAGCATTATCCTCCGTAATATGTTATGAAAGATTTTGTAGTTAATAAAATGTTGAGTAAGTTATTTGTTAGGATTTTGTCATTGATAAACACATTTAATGTTATGAAGAATGTACTACAATCACACCACTTAGATATTAATCCTCATGTGGTAACCATAAGTATCGACAGTTGAACTATAGAATAAAATTGTTGAATCCAACAATTAAAATGTTGAATTCGACATTTAATAATTGTTGAGAAAGGCATTTAAACTGTTGTTTTTACCAGTTTGCTATTGTTTGATAAAATTTATTTATAGATGTAACTTGCTTGTTAATAAAGTCTTATATGTTAATTGTAACGAATACTTATCATTGTTATCTCCAATTGTCAGGTATAAATACTAATTTGAGATTCATCATGTTGCACTATGGACATTTTGTCCATGTAGATGGCGAGAGAACAAAACCACTTCAATCTTAGTTCTAAGCAATTTCACCCTACATGACTTGTGTTATAATTGGTGAAGAAGTTTCGTATTCATGATCCATACACTTATATCGAATTGAAATTCAAAGTCCTAAACATGAATATACCTTTTGCTAAAATATGTGAAGATGAAGAGTTGCAATGGTATATATCGGTTTGCAAGGAAACCGCTTTTTGTATTAATCTGAGCCAAATTGACCTTCCAAAATGTCCACACGGTGACGGATATAAGTTTCCACCATGCTTTGTTTGTCCCAAAGAAAGGTTATAGAAACTTACAACGCCACGAGGTTGACCCAATCCAAAATTTCCAAAACGATAATGTATGCCAAGCAGTAATTTGTGGTTTTCGTTAAATCGCCCCAATACATGAGAACTTAGATATCCCATTACATGGTGCAGATGATGAAAATATTGTTAAGGGTGACGTTCCACAATTTCAGATAGATACGAATGAGTTAGCAATGTGGATACATCCGACATTGCCCAAGGTGAATTATTCTTGAATAAGAATAAGTTTTATATGAAAATTTGCATACTTGTTTGCAAGACAAGTTTTAATTTTGGGTTAGAAGATTAGGCTTGAAAAGGATAACTGTTGTTTGCGAAGATAACAATTGTAAGTGGACGTTACATTGTTCGGCATTGAGAAAGCCTGCAATCTTCAAAATTTGTAAATTCAATAATGTGTAGACATGTTTTGTAGATTTTTGACATAGTGCACATCGACATGCAACAAGTTCTTTAGTTGTCGAATATATATTAAGAAGACTGGATAATCCAAATCGATCTTATGCTTCGTCTGTTATTGTACGGGATGTGGAACGTGAGTTGGGTGTCAAAATCAATTATAGAAAAGAATATAGGGAAAAGGAAATTGTTTAAAGTTCCTGTCACGAAAGCTTACTCCAAGGATCTTCAAATCGATATTTTTCGGGCTCAGTCCAACTTACTTTTCTCTACCTAACTACCTAACCAACCGGCTTCGATCCACAGCTAATATAATTCACCTTGATTACAATTCAATCTTACCCACAAAGGACAAAAATCGGTGATGATTTGCAGCCACAAAGGTAAGCTATGAAGGAACCACAAATTACACAAAGTAATCAATCATTTTCAACACCAAAAAGGACCTGCAACAAATTCTTTAGTTGTCGAATATATATTAAGAAGACTGGATAATTCAAATCGATCTTATGCTCCGTCTATTATTGTACGTGATGTGGAATGTGAGTTGAGTGTCAAAATCAGTTATAGAAAAGCATATAGGGGAAAGAAAATTGTTTAAAGTTCCTATCGCG